CAGATACATACACATAGGGGCAGGTGACAAATATCCTGCCTTCTCGATAGCAAGACACATCTTAGAAACTGATCACAAAATTGATTTGGAGACAGGACAAGCACTTAGATTATTCAAAGTACTTGCTATCTGCAAATTAAAACTCCTTCTGTGTATTCAGAAACAATTGGTGCTTACATTAAATCTACCCTGACAGCATTAAGTTCACCTATTCTTACTAATGGTAGTGGTGATTTAACCTTCAGTTATTATTTTCTCCCTCTTACTTTTGTTTTGCCCTTATTATTTTCCTTAATTATAGTTCCATTGACTTAATTAACTTTTCCAAGTTTTATATAAAATAGTCTATAAGTTCATTTGTGATCAAACTGTTCGAAATTTATAACACTAATACTGTAAATGTTTCCGATAATCTCCTTTTTCTCATAAAGTTATTTAAGTTTATCAAAGTAACTATCTGTTTCGAAGTCACAATCGTTGATCATTTGCTTTTTACCCTCAGTAACTCTAATTGTGACTCGCATCTCTTAACTCCTTATAAGGAATCGTATTACCAACTGATTGAAGTTTATTCTGCTAGACACTGAATGATACCACTAAACACTGAGAAATAATTTTAATATTTCTGATTTTTTTGTTATATGAAATAGCAATCAATCATTGACAACAAAAGGCTTTGAAATACTGAGGAATGTTCCAATTTATCATATTTTAAGGTGACATTTCAAGATACATAGAATTTAGACGAAAAAGAAGTAGGTAAAAACCAATTAAAATTCGTCGACAGTCATTAAAGGCACAGAAACGGAATTCAAACAAGAAACTATGTAACTGGGGACTAGAACAAAAGCCATATAAAATTGCACGAAAGACTGTTTGCTAAATAATACTTAGCTGTCAGTTTGGATAAGATATGGGTTCACAACATTCACCATAAATCGCATTACCGTCAAGTAAACACTACGATCCAAAACCACCCATGTGTAAATATTGGCACACAGTACCCCTCGCGCACTAACCTAAAACAATTGCATTATTAAAAATATGAACGTAATCCAATTCAAAATGGATGCTGTGCTCAAGATAAATTAGAAATAAACGATTTTCTGGATAAAAAATAACCGATTAATGATAAAACGAAGGTCACCAGACAACCAATGATTATTTAGCTACATCTCTTCTTTGTATCGTATGTTTTGATGCTAGCCAGCGAGAAAATGTTTCCCACTACCATTGAGTAGGTTCTGAAATATGTTTAAGGCAGTTTATATGGCAAATTGTTTTCTTGAATGATAATTTTGACTTTCTAATAAATATTTCTTTATTCCTTTCTACAAAAATGAACTTAAGGTCTTAAAAATGTACAGTGCACTAACGTACAATAAATAGTGCAGGCGACAACACCTTTGCTAAGTGCAAGACCTCTAACAAAAAAAGTCATTTAGAAACCAAAAGCTACTAAAGTGAACGTGTTTTACGCTGTTTGTGTCACATCTAAATTTTTATTCACATTAAACAATAAAAACATTTGCTTAGATGCAAAAAATGTCAGTAAACTTAATCTTTTAGGCCCACTTCAAGATTTACAATATGTGAAGTATTAGGAGGATAAATATTACGACATGATATCGTTTCATAGTTTATCTGCAAATGCGTAACAGTTAGCACAGTTTACAACGATAAATTATTCATACGGGACGATGACTGAGGGTGAAGTGAAATTTCGAGCCACGTTAGGATTCGAATAAGCGACAACCAGGTTTCAAGCCGAACACCCTACCAAGTGAACTAAGAGATCCAACAGCTGACCAGATTTCTACTTCACTCCAGTCACCAAAAGTCTTACCCAAGTGTTTCATAGCTCAGCTGATAGAACACCGGGCTAAAAACTCGGACGTCATCGGTTGAAACCCTATCGAGGCTGAAACTTTCATTTCACCTTCTATCATCAGGCAGTTTGCCAGACCACAGCTATCTCAGACAGTCAAACAGATAGTCAACTATTCCTCAGTATTTTGCAGTTATACCAAGGTAGAAAAATATTACTATTCATCATACCAAGTAAAGTAGTCCAGAGTAGGTGCAAGGCAACAATCTTTATTTTCTGAACATAACTTTTGGTGTGTGTAGTTAGTTTAAAAAGATCTTAGTGATTTTAACAACTTTGAACTGAAGTTATGCAAACAATTTAAAAATCGATATTTATAATGATTTTGTTACCAGTCCTGAATAAATACCTGGCAACACATGGTGCGAGTTTTCTATTCATGTTAAGTACATATTGTTCAGACATATGACTTTAATGCCGCTGAGAAACAAGTTTTTTTTTGATGGTATTACATGACTGCAAATTCTGACGAATAATTTATTACTGTAAATCATGTTAGCTTTAAGGAAGCCGTTGAAGTGGTTTTGAAGTGAAGACAGGAGTGAAACAAGGTTGCCTACTATCACCCATGATATTCCTGATTGTGGTAGACTGGATCCTACAACAAACAGTGGGGAGCGAGAAGAGGGGGATACGCTGGCTGGACTGCGGAAAAGAACCTAGAAGATCTGGATTTCGCTGATGATTTGTGTCTGGTGTCACACAAACTTGAAGATCTACAGGCGAAAACCAACAAGTTGACAGAGGAGGAGAGACAGCGAAGACGGGACTTCAGGTGAATATAGAGAAGATAGAGGTGATGAAGATACCCAACCAACAACAATCTCCAATCACCATCAACGGCAGAAACATAAAGAAAGTAACCTCCTTCACCTATCTAAGAAGCACTGTTTCAACTACGGACGACACAGACGAGGATGTCAAAGTCAGAATCGGAAAAGCAAGACAGGCGTTTATTTGCCTGAAACCAGTGTGGAGATTTTCTGCACTCAGCATGTGGAACAAGATGAGGATTTTCAACACCAACGTTCAGTCAATGCTCCTGTTTGGTTCAGAGACTTGGCGCGTTACGAAAGGCACTTCCAACAAACTACAGACATTCATCAACAACTGCCTACGCTGGCTTGTTACTGAAGATCAGATGGCCAGAAAGAGTGAGCAACAAGGAACTCTGGCAATGAACCAACCAAGAACCCATCGCTTTAGCAAACATGCAGTGGCAGGAAGTGGAGATGGATTGGACGGGGCAAACACTGAGAAGGCCGACTGGGGACATCACGCGTCAGGCCCTCAAATGGAATCCCCATGGGAAGCGACGAGTTGGGTATCTGAGCCGAGGGTGACATGGAGGAGATGGTGTGAGGAGGAAATGAGAGCTTGTGGGCTGTCGTGGAGGCAGTTTGAAAGGATTTCAAAGAACAGAACGCATTGAAGACGTGCTAGTGAAGCCCTATGTTCCATTAGGAACCCAAGGGACAAATAATAATAATTTTAGCTTTAATGTGTTTATAGAGAAACAATAGTATCATCTCATAATATTTGTCTTTCTAATGCCTTGTTTAAATATGTGAAAAGCCTTCACCTCATTTGTTGCTTAAGGATATTTTTGTACATTTGCAATTTTTTTTCCATTGAGATGACCACGGTGAGTTACTAACTTGAGCATACGATCCCTGACTTAGCTTGTCAAGTATCTTCTTTCGTAAAGCGTACCCATCAAAAACAAGCCAATCGCACGCAGCTATCTCTATTTCAAACATTTCGCAGCTTTGTGATTTTAAGCACACCTTAGTCTACTATCTCTGATTCTGTAAAGCACTAGACACAGTTCACGGAATAATTTACTTGGTGTGTACAATTACTGATTACTGAAGGGCAACCAATTTCATGATGACCAATTTTCTTGTCTTCATTGAATTTTGTCGACTATTTTGGTCACCAAACCAGAAGACTCAACATCAAAGTGCACTTCGACTAGTGTTAGATATAATATTGACTTAGTGTATCTATGGTGTTGAGGGTGTCCAGTAAACGAAGAAACTAAGTTGGTCTTTTAATGGTGATCAACAATAGGACCTACCAATAACTTTACAAGACTACACAGTGGAGAATATTCTAGTCAGGCTCAGTGAATAATATGAATTATTTTCCACTTGAATAAGTTACAACCTTTGTTACATAATGCCTAACTAAGACACTTTTGGCACACAGTCTCTATAGCAGAATCTAATTTAATTCCTATTAAACATTCAGAGGTTCTAAAAAGCTTCAATGTCGATTTATGTGGAAAACATTTATGAGTTCTGAATAAAGTGAAGGAGGAAGCAGTAGTTTGGACATAACTGTTTCTTGAGTTGTTCACTTAAGAATAGTGGACAATGTAGAATCGTTAAAGCCAGTGCGCATGATATCCTAATGCTTGATTTTGCGGTTGCCGACAAGTATTAACAAGCATAGAAATGTTGTTTTACGTGTCCTGTATATTGTTTCCGACTGAAGAAAACCAAATAAGTACACTGTAGCGCTTAGACTTCTGAAATGATGATCGGGTTGGTGAATGACAATGAGATATAACTGGAGACTGAAGAGGACAAGGTTTGGTACCCTTCTAGGAGCAATGAAATCGTGAACGCCTATTTATAAATGGCTTGATTAACAAACAGGTAAGTACTAGTCATTCACAAGAGAAAAGGGCACAGCTGCTAGAGATCAACATTAAAATTAGAACTTACCTTGCAGTTCAGTCAGAAGAGGACTGGTCTGAGAGTTCAAAGGCTACTACTGCCTTGAAACCTGTCAATACGCAGGTTTTTTGTTTTAACTATGGTAATTCCCTCATTAAGTATTATCAAACTTATTTCACTTAAACGTTTTTAGCCTAACTTCACTGCAAGAAAATGATGAGAAGGAAGCTAAACAAATGTATTTACCGTATTCTGCAAATCTATTCGATGTCGCTATTTCTAGGCTCAATAACGAACCAGATGTATGATTTTATAATAAGCTGCATCATTTATAAATCAAAATCTTAACATTTAAGCTATTATTCAGATTCTATTATTATCAGTAATTCTAAAATTTTAGACTCCTAACCTTCTTTGCTTTTTTGAAGGAACAAAAATCCAAAGTCATTGATGCAATGCAAGAAATGAAAGTTAAAAACGGTGAAATAGTTATAACTCAAGGTGACGATGGAGATAATTTTTATATTATTGAATCGTAAGCCAAATTAAAACATTCACTGCTTTATTTTTGATATTTAAATCAATTTAGTGAAATCTTCTTTGCATTATTTGGATGATATAGGAAACAATGCTTTTTTTATTATACTACTGTGTATTATGTCGATTGAACTCCCTTCAATAATCTGATTTCTATCATCTCCAAATAATGAACATTAACCTACTACCCCAGATTCTTGTTCAGATTCATTCCGTGGTCTCAGAATTTCCAGTGGAAGTCTCAAAATGTACTCATACTTATTATAATGAGGAGAAAATGCATACGATGTTTGCTGATTACATTTTTGATAGATAATTGGTGAACAACTGAGAACTATGGTTTCTCGTAACTCGCTTGTTTTGGACATCAGGTGTGCCGTATTATCAGCCTCTAACATAGCTTTTAGGAGTTTTATAAAGAAACCTTCTGTAATACGAATTCAGTCTATAATACATTTCGGTAGATAGTATAATATAGCCGTTCTTGCTTGGTCAGGAAAACTAAAGCAAGCAGAAATGCAGGGAAATCCACTACCCACAATGTATAACAGTTTCTAAGACAGACAGTGGTGATTTGAAACTAAGTTCACCAACAATTACTTACCGTCTTCCATCAATGGACGACCAAAATATTATTTGTACAACATTAATCAACACAGAAATTTACCCGTAAGTTGGGAGAAGGAAGAGAAAAAGTACAATGTTGCAACAGGTGTTTGCATGATTGTACAAAAAGTAGTGAGCTCAAAATTCAAGGAAAAAAAAGGGTAGATATGTGAAAAAAGTTTTATAAATGAAATTAGGTTACAATTTACATAAATATACTTTTTAAGCTTAACAATGAGTTCATAAATTGGCATAAAATACGTCAGTCATGAGGTAACGAAAGAATAATCACCATTCTTTTAGACACAGTGCTAGCCTACAATCATCAGATAGTTATGGTGTCAATCATTTGAAGTGTAACTGATGTTATCTTTCTCTTGATATAAGGGAAGACATTTGATACATTGGAATGATAATTTATCATCATTTTCACTATCTGAGATAGCCATGGTTTGGCAGACTGTTTATACTGAGTAACGATTGAAGGTGAAATGAAAATTTAAAACCTTATCGGTATTCGAACCAGTGACAACCAGGTTTCCAACCCAGTGCTCTGCCAACTGAGTTGATACAGTGGTACTTACTTTACTGACGTCTTCAGAAGCACAAGACATTCACACAAAAAGAAACCTCTAAACAAACTCACATTGTCCTTTTCTGCTTCGGTGTACCAACAGATATTCAAGAGAGTTGAAACACTCACAAGATCTTATGAAGATTAAGTTAGCGATGATTGTTTTCATGCTGTTTTGTTGTCCTAACTGGAGGGTTTAGTCATGAAGCTTTCATTGCTATTACAGACAACATCATCAGTACAAACTTCAGAAAGAAGTGAGAAGTGAGGTTTTCTCTACAAGTGGCCAGGTAGCTTGTCCTGATGATCTCGTGTGTGGTTGGTTGTTCCTGCCAAAGTCTTGTCATTGTCTCCATATTCAGTCCGGTTGGTTGCTCCGCCGATGTAAACTTTGACCTTGGTACTTCTTTTTGGCTGATAGATTGGGCTAGTGTTAATATGTTGGCTGGTCGCAGACTGAACTGAATGCCAAGCTTCTAAAAATTCTTTGGTATCATTTGCATTTCCTCTATCCTGAGTTTCCACATTTCCCTAGTCAAATTCATGTCCACAGTTGTCCGTTTGCAATGACGCGAGTGAAAACATGCATAACGCTTCACTGCTAGTTGACTTTATGTAGATGATGAGGAAGAAAGAGACCACCTTGCCCGATAAGGTGTTTTTTGTAGTTTCTGGAGTTTATGTTGCAGATAATATTTGGCGCGCCATTGCAACCTTTGGCCTGCATAACACAGCAAAGGGATTTTGCAGGCTTGTTAGTTTGGATGCTTCCAAAAGAATTCAATAGTCTAATCGTGTTCTCGGAGATGTTCTTCATTTAGGGTTAGATAATTTGTTTGTTTGTTCCCGAGGATGATTTCTTGGTTGACGACGAATTATCAAACGTCTTTTGATGAAGTTTCGCGGATAGCCGTTCTTTGATAAAACATCATTAGCTAGTCTTCTTCTTTTCTCCGCAAGGTTGATATACTACAGTGTTTCTTTACTCCTCTGAACAGTGTTTCTACACAAGTGATTTTGTGTGTTGTTGGCTTCTTACCAACTGTAGTTTAGGATTTGATCTGTATGAGTTGGCTTTTTGTTTGTTTCAGTTTCCAATTCTCCCGAATCCTCCCTAGTGATCAGAAGTTTGAGCTAATGATCTTGTCTAAAATGACAATAAAAGCTTCGCGATCAATTCATTCAAGTAGGAGAATACAACACCATGATTATTATTTTTCTAAGCTACAATTATTCTGTATCCTTACAAGAAAGCAACCGTTAATACGACTTCTCAAAGGCTACTTTGCAAATATAACCAACCGAAATAATTTTTATCCTAATTTAAAATGAAATCATGATTACCATACTGATTACAAAGGGTCTAATACACGGTACCTAAATACTCGAGCGTTGCACAAATACATCATGTACAGAGTTATCCAAAATAACTGCAGCAGTGCTACGGAAAACGGCACACCAAACATGATTACAATTTGGCATATATTGTTGTTTAGGCTTTAATATGGTTTAGATTTTCTCGGCTTCAATTACATACAATGATCGTAGAATGTATCACTGTCATTTTCGCAAACGAAAATCTTACACAATTTTTTTCACGAAAATGACACCAGTAATTAACGGACCGACTGCAGACTCCTTTTATCTCTGATGACTATAAATTCCATTGAACAGTTGTAGTTAATGAATACTTCAAAAAAGATTCTTATGCAACGGATTGCTTTCCTTTTAATTTAGTAAAAGAGCCATCTGACCATTCAACATAGCTTTATTCAAAACTAATTGATGTATTTGGGTCACAATTCAAGACAACTGCAATACACGTTGTTTTATCTTTGCTTAGTGAGGATAGCATACTGTTTTTGCTTTCAACAAACATAATCCTTATCATTAATCTTCCCTTTGTAACTCTCAAAAACATCTGTTCAAATTTCTGTGGTAAATTGAAAAATTTACTTCAAAGATAAAACATTCATATTTAGCTCCATTTAATGAAATTATACTACAATAAGAACGATATCTGAGGAACAAAACAAACTACATTCTGTTGAAGTAATTTTTTTAAAAGCACTCAACTTTAAATGTTAGACCTGAAGATGCCATTTTATTTTTTTGGAGATAAAACATAAAAGCTGAAGATTAGTAGGTTAAAAAAGTCTCGGTAATACAGACTGAAAATAAGTTTCGAGGGGTTACTTATGAATAAATTATTGATATATACCAATGATTTTTAGAGTATCGTACATGAATATCTGCTCAATACGTTTTCTTTTGCATTACACAGTCAGTAAATATCCCTGAGAAGTGGAGACTAATTCCATGAGACAGAGCGACTACTGCGTGTTATATTAACAATAATTTGCATATTATCGTGCGTATGATGTAACCACCAAAACTCTGTACATAGGTAACCTGAACAAGTGAAAGGAAGTTAGACCTTGCTTAAAGTGCTTCACCATTTCTAGGCTATAAAAAATAAACGTTCCTAGAGGGTTAAATGGATAGTCAACGTTTAAAAAGAAGAAAGTAACTAGGATTCTGAATCAGTCGTTAAGAGATTAGTATTTTCTTAAATAGATTATAGGTGCAATCATAATTAGTAGAAGGACCAATACTAGTTAGAAGCAAATTAATGAGTTAAGTTAGAAAAATCGTGTTTTTATTGTTTTCCCAATCACAAAGTTAAGCAGAGAAACCAAATCGAACTTACCCGATAGACAATGCTTCAGTCAGTCAAAGATAACATTTGGGTTTTTTGTTGGTTATTTCAAGTTCCTTGATCAAGATGATCTTGTGCAAAATAGTTTTCTTCCATTCTTGATAAATATACGGCAATCAAATAACAAAAACGTTTTATCATATTTATTTCATAATTATAGGGGGACATACGATATATACGTCAGGAATCCCACTGCTACAGATAAGCAACTTGGAGAAAAAGTCGGATCATACAATGGTCAAGGTTCTTTCGGGGAACTTGCTTTGATGTATAATACATCTAGAGCAGCTTCAATTGTGGCTGCCACAGATGGTATTCTATGGCTTATGGACAGAAATACTTTTCGTCGTATTGTCCTAAAGGCTGCTTTTCATAAACGACAAACATATGTAGAATTGTTGGAAGATGTACCGTTACTGAAGGAGTTAAGTAGCTATGAACGTATAAATGTTGCTGATGCCTTACAGTCAAGAGTGTATCAAGATGGAGCGACCATAATTTCTCAGGGTGAAACCGGTAAAGAAATGTTCATTATTGAATCAGGAACCGTCAAGATTATTGTGAAGGAGGTAAGCTAAACAGCGTTCAGTTCAAGCAGGTTTGTGCACCATTATGATCAAAAACCATCCTTTCATTGGGAAAATCTGTTGTTTTGGACACTTGTTTTTTAAACAATAATTCCAACATTGTAGTGTCTTGAAGCAAATTAACAGTGTAGGTCTTTTCACTTACATCTATACTGATAACTTATGGTATGGATTTTATTCTGACAAGCACCGACTGATAAAAAGAATCCCTATTTTCATTTTGCAGACAAGGGAGTGTATGATAAGCTATTTAGATGGTAACCAAATTCTGTATCAACTTAATTATTTATGAAAAATGGTGGTCAAATATCTAAAACCCTGTGAATATGCAAAACAGTATATCATCTTAGTTAAAAAGATCATATTTCATGGTCAATGAAGTTCAATTAATAACCAGAACTGGTAAAGCCATTGGTTATCTCCAGTGACAGCCTAGTTACCAATGCTTCAGCTTATTTGTACTAAGTAAAAGTATCATACAGCTTAGTCCAGTGGAGTGAGAATAACGAAAACTGAAGACTGAAGTGCATCACAGCATGAGTCAAATGAAATATTAGGTCAGTTTATACTCATAACCCCATAAAGTGGAGTCGTGTTGAAAGCGATTTGTTACAGACCACTTCTTTGATAAACTAAGTTCTGTGTATTGGGCGTCTGCAGAATCATATATGATATTTTGAATAGCTCATGTCAAAAATCATACCAAAATATTGTTATACAGATTCGGCAGCTCTCCTAAACACGAATAATCAATAACCGGATAAGATGATACTAAACTGTATTGACAATTTCACAATTTTATACCAATAAGAAATTACCCCCAACAGCTTTTTCTCACTAAGAAGACAAATATTACAGCTATGTGCAAATTCCAAAATATCCAAAACATTAACTAAAGATTTCAACACAATGCATCCTTGGCATCTTTATTTCTTTCCTGGGCTGATTATGATGCTCTGTAACTCCAAGAGCTCTTCGTTTTTAGAATTATCTTCACAGCATTTAACAGTAGCTATGTTTTAAGTGCATTTCAATCTTCAGAGAAAATGGAAATAAAGCATAATATATTCATTACAGCAAATCTTGTAGAATATATAAACTGAAAAGGTTAAGAATAAACAGGTGAATAAGGACAGGAAATGGCAAAGTTGCTTTTCAAGTTTCAATTGTTATTTTACCAAAGTTTCAGCAATGTTAAGTACATATTTTCTCACACACTTTAGAAGATTAGGGTTTCGCTTTGTAGACTAGTCCAAAAGAACCTTCTGGAACTGTCTGTCCGCTGTCAACCAAGTGTTATAATAAGCAGTTATTAATTGATCCGCGTTGATCTTTAGTGAGCCATGCTGGAAGGTTATGGTGTCGACGTTAGACTGTCTGCCTGTGCGTATGGCCTACGAATCTAGCTCCACAGGTACAGATGAACTGATATATGCACAGTGAAGTGATCAGCAGTAACACTGATGGGACAAATGACAAACTTTCACACCCTCACCCCCGTCATTCGGAAAAGTAATTTCATTCACTCACCTACTTGTCAAATCCGGAATATTTGTACTCCCATCACTTAAGAAAACGAAATCCAACTTCTGTGATCTACGTTTGTCGTAAATGGATATCTATACAGATTCGTAGATAAACATCTACATTGGAATGCTACACATCAGCCTTCTGTCACTGTAGAGAATAAAAAACTAATTTCAGGCTTGCATTTTGACAGAGATGCAGGGGATCTGGTACTTCGAGGCAGAGTGACGAAGACTATCAACAGAATATTATATACAGCCATTCTGAGGATTACTTATACTAGTCTCCCAATGGTGAACGCTTGTGTGAAAGACAAAATGTTACTCCTGACCAATTCACTGTGCATATATCAGTTCATCTGTACCTGTGGAGCTAGATTCGTAGGCCATACGCACAGGCAGACAGTCTAACGTCGACACCATAACCTTCCAGCATGGCTCACTAAAGATCAACGCGGATCAATTAATAACTGCTTATTATAACACTTGGTTGACAGCGGACAGACAGTTCCAGAAGGTTCTTTTGGACTAGTCTACAAAGCGAAACCCTAATCTTCTAAAGTGTGTGAGAAAATATGTACTTTACATTGCTGTAACTCTGGCAATGCAACAGTGGAAACCAAAATCTTGTGACCAGAAGCTCCTTAAATTAAAATAGTTCATTCGTAATCATAAAAACAAACGTATGCAAAACAATAATGGCTGAAACAGGCTTGTGGACAGGTTAAATGACTTGCAAAATGAGAGTTTTACAACACCTGCCATGCTGATTTTAATTTTGGTTACCTAACTTCGAATTCAAGCAATATAGTCAATGACCTTGAAGGCCTCCTTAGAATGAAATTTAAGTAGGATTTAGGACATTTTCTCAGACATCCATTAATTATGATTAGATTCCCTTCAGCATTTTAAAATCTCAATCATCCCCGTAGAATATAAATCGTGCTTTGCGATAAGCAGTTACAATCATTCACCTCTATTAAATGAAAAACAAACTAAATTATTCTGCACTAAGTACAAAATCAACACTTTTTGTTACAGAATTCAAAGGAAGTTGAGCTAAGTCGAGTTGGTAAAGGAGCTTATTTTGGAGGTAAGATTTATGTATGATTATACGTATCATTTAAAATATTTGTAAATGTAAATGTGCTCCAATACTTTCTTCATTACTTAGAGTCACTTATTCATGTTGGTTTTGGCCCAATTAAGACACTTTACTTTTACCCTCTGATCTCTTACTTTTAATGGCTTTCCAAATGATGTTATCTAACTACTGCTGACTTTGTCTAATTTTTGAGATATTTTAAGTCATCTGGATTCATAAAAGGGACTAAGTTTTGCACTTGAAACTGTCAAAATTAATGAAAATTTTTTTATTTTGAAAAGGAAAGGCAACATCTGCAGATAAATAAATAATACTTGATATCATTCCCATTTCTACAAACCGGTTTGTACCGAAGAAATAGGATTGACTTCTCATCTTTTTCCTACCCTTAAACTTAGTGATAATTCGTTTAAATAAACACTATTGACTTAGGTCATTTTAAGGCCAAACGTAATCAGAAATGTTAACGTATGAACTTATTTATTTATCTTATACAGTTGAGTACTAGTTGACCTTTAACATCTTTGCCTGAAGTTATCTAAGCGAAAATTCAATCACCTCATAGTTATCTTACCAATACTTTTCCAGTGTGCGTTTTAATGTAAGTAGAAATCGAAACAGAGAATACTGAAAGAAATCTTTTTACCAGATATTGAATTCACATTAAGAAAAACTTAAGCTATCTTGCAGAGTGGCAAGCGTTTTTTGTATGGGTTATGGTATGTGAATGTTCATAGTGCTAGAAAGGTTATTTTACGCTGCAAATTAGCAAGATTATTGGCCACTCATTTTGCTATTTCTGCCCGAAAAATTTTCAAAACTAACAAATTAATGCTCCGTTAATGTCAAAAGGCAAAGGGATGAAGAACAGACTTCATTTTAAGATGATAAATTTCATAGCCGTTATGCTGTTACTAGAGCATTGTATAACCACAAGTCAAAAGCCAAGTAACTTGAATTTTACTATTATTTAATGTACAAACGAAACGAAACTCACTTACTCCATCTTTTATTCAAACTCCAAACTACCTCCCTAAGTGAGAGTTGTTGATAATATTTATTCGGCTGGACGCAATTAGGTAAGCTATGACTTGAAAACTGCTTTAAATGCTGAAACTGAATTCGCTATTCAGTGTATCTTTGCCTCATTCTCCCTAGTTTGCACTTCATTTAGTCACTCATTATTAATAAGATCATCATTCCAAGTAGCTAAAATTTTGAACCGCAGCACATAACGCATGCCTTAGACAACTTAGCCAGTATAGATTCCGAACCTTATAGAATGAGTCAACCATTCCTAGTACTTACCCTGCTTTTTGATTCCACGCGAACGACACAGATAATTACAGTAATCTCATATTATTCTAACCTTATTACACTGCTGCTGTGCCTACTCAGTTATTGAAAGACATTTTTTAAAATCCCTAGCACTCCGATAAATGTGAACAAATATTTTGAACTTGCCCCAAGAGCTCCTTGTCAACTAATCCAATAGGATTTACGTTACTTTCGCAGAAGGGTGCGTGGTGCACCTAGCTGCTTATCTTCTTACAGTTTATCTTTACAGTCTGCTCAACCCAGTGATTTAAAATAACGTGCTACCTCGTGGGTACAAATCACACTGCATAAATTTCAGAAGTCATCTCTGTGTCTTAGTAAAAACAGAATTGTAGTACTCGCTCCGTAATGGCTTTTGAATGTAGAAACTGTTCCAACACTCAATAATTTAAAGATTCACAAATGAGCTTACGGTTGATGAATGGAGTTCAACTAAGGTTTCAGTAAAAGTACTTGAACTTTAGAATCCGTCCAAAAGTAAAGACCATCTCTAAATTGCCTTGAATTCTCCTTGACTCTAAGATTTGTCACTTCCACAGATTTGAGAGCTAGTAACCGCTGGTCTCATTTTCAGAATTTCATTACTTGACCTTATTCTTTTATGGGTTATATACAGTTACTCTGAAATGAAACTGCCTGAAACTGAGAATATTTAAAGGAAGCGATATCAGATTATGGTGTTACAGCCAAGCTGGACAATTCCTCAGTAACAGTTTAATGTTGGTCATGGTTGGTAAAAGTAGACTTGTTAATCAGATTGTGGCTTGTTTGCGGAAAGCTGAAAAGTAGCTGATAATCAACTAAGCTGCCATTCAAAGCACAGACGACAGATTTTACTACCTACACAGAGATGGTTCCAGTCATCCTTCTTTGCAACTGACATTAGACTTATGCAAACCGTTCCACAATAACATTCGTAAAAACCACCAACTATGACATTCCTCACACCTCATTTATCTCCTTCATTTTCCTTGCCAGAAGTCATCTTCAAGACGTTTAGCCAAGCTGTATTTCAGCTGAATTTAGATATCATAGCCATGCATAACAAATCGTAGTGCTTTCACTACCTTCAATGAGTTTTCACAGGTAATAAGCGCATTTCAACTTTCGGTGTTGATGTCATAATGATGACTGAGGTTAGATGCTGTACTGATAACACCGTTTAGAATAATCTTTATGCAGGAATGCATAGACTGCCAAAAGACACTGAAATGAAAGCAAATTGTTTCTACAAAAGCAGAAGAAGTGCTGTTAGAACACAAATGATACTCTTATCTCTCAATCAGGCATAGATATATTTCACTAATGAATTTTATTTGCATTAACTCATTCTTAAATGCATGTTGTCCAGTACAAATATTCTGGCTGAATTCAGATCGCAAAAGACATTAACTAATATCCTTACATAAAGGCTGTGAAATCCTAGTGCTGTGATAATATCTGCATCCATCACTGGGCCTATGTCATTTTTCACCTAGATAAACAATGTACCACAGTCCTTTACCGACACTCAGAAAAACAGCAATATAGTGTTTAGAAATTGTAGCCGGTCACAGGTGGTTCTTTCTGTTTCATGACTGAATGTTACACCTATATCAACAGTTCTGATAAAACTAAAACCGAATCCTCGGATGTCTCTTGGATTAACCTTAAGGGGGCATTTGAGGCGTTTTGAGGCTCTATCAAAAAATATTTGAGTCTCATAATTCTAACTAAAAAACTGAATGTACTATCCCGCTACCAGACTTGCCACAGTAATTTCATAAGCAGTCAGGTGGAAAATTTAACATATAATAAAGAATTGGAAAGTTAGTTGTATATCCTTCACAATAAAGCTGCTATTTATCAAATACTGGATTTTGTATGGCTAAGTCACCGACACAAGTTGCAATGAACAAAGCCGGTGCTGCTACACTGTATGCTCAATCAAAGAAAAAAAGAACGCGAGTTGGAATCACTTTAATAAGCCTAACAAGAGTCAGTTAAAGGTAATATTGCAACAGATTAATATTATCTGTTCATCAGGTTCCTAGTGGAACATAAGGATTCAGTAGCACGTCACCATTTCACTCTCTTGTCTGCAGTCTCTTTAACCTAGCTCCACAACTGTCTAGAAGCTTTCATTTTTTATTCACACAATCTCTTCTATGTCAGATAATATATCATAATAAAAATGGCTAGGGATGGTTAGAATGATTAATTACACTAAAGTATTCTTCAGCAAGATTCTAAGAGGTAAAATAGAAAAGTTTTATTCTCACCACTGCACTCAATAATTACCTATTTCATACTGTTCGCACTTTCTTTAATAATAGTTCTAAGTTTAGAAAATAAAGGTAACCTCGCTGTCGGTGACTTTTTCATATGGAAAACGATGAAGGTGACATTTCTACATCAGCGACTCCTAAACTTTTCCTTTCTAAAGAAAAATAGCAGTGTTTTTAACTTCAGAACGTTTCAAAGTAGCCCAGTTTATGACATTTTAGATTTTTTAATCCAAAAAAGGACAAGTAACTGTATCATGACTAAAGTTGTATTCGTAACATGGCTTTTGTCAGATTTTTAAAAGCTTTCAACTTAAAGTTTTCTTGGTTAAGGAAATTACTCTGTTTTTCTCAGTTTATTTCAGACCTGAAAAATTCCTTTAAGGCCTTTTTCTTAGTTCCAGCCTAGCATTTTAACCACTCATCCAAACACTACTTAATTGCACTGTTTTGGTTTGACAACCAGATTTAGTACTGGGTGAAGACTGCAGGTGAACTGAAAACCGAGGTGGCGGGATTCAAGCTGGAGAACGCTCTTTGTGTTATGGCCTCTACTGCGACACAAGTTTTCATTTATCTTTCAGTGATCACTAAGTATCAACAAAACTAGTCTACCTATAACTGTCTCAGTCTACTTAACGATAAGGTCTAAGCTTTCGAAAGTTCCCAATGATAATTTGAAAGAATGAAACAGTCGGTTTTTATCCCTATAAGTTATCCTTAATTACAGACAACGATACATTTTCGAGATATCCACCTATTATTATTTCTGAGCACAGTCATACTTCAACAGGTCATCCAAAGATTTTATAAGTTTTTTCTATATCAAATTGAAAGCTGCTAGTGACTGACTCGCAAAGATTACGCACAAAACATTATTTTTCATCTTCACACAAAGCACCTCATACCCACTCTTCTGAATATTAATGCAAAATGAAGGAATAATGTTTTAGTCAATGAAAAATTAACCATGTTTATACATCTTTTTTATATATTTTAGAATTGGCACTAATTACGAAACGTCCCAGAGCTGCGTCAGCCTATGCAGTTGGACAAACAAAAGTAGCTGGTAAGTAATTTGTTCAGTTGCTTCTTTTATTGCTTATCTGCAAGACTGTTGCCACTATCTGCTTTATCGCTCATGCTTCAAATGTATGCTCACTACAGTAACAGAGAACTGAAAGCAAATAAACGGATTACGAAAACATATACTTCTAAAATTAAATCTCGAGACACTTTAAATGGAAAAGACTTTCATAACTGACCTTACTTGACCCCATATTTATGCCAAGGACTATATTCCCTCGGTGTATGCAAATTCATCTGGTAAAAAACAAACATAACTGGGTAAATAATCAGCAATCTTGAAAATATGTGTAGCAGTGTCCTGGTAGCATAGAGAAGTAGCTATCAACCACTGGGCCACAACTCACAGTTCCCCTTCTTCCACCTATGTTTAAGTAGGCAGGTAGTATCACTATCCTTCATACAATAGGTGTGGCTCAATGCCTACTGTATGGATGAACATAAGGTTGCTGAGTGCGTTATATATTATTTATTATCTCTTAAATATCTTTCATGAAATACTTATCATGTGTTGTTTAACGGTCTCATAAATGAAGACACTTTTGAATCAAAGCCGACTGATTGTACGCCCTCGAATAAAAATATACGTTCTAAAGGATTATGCATGGGAACCTTTTAGACTATATTATAGATTAGATACTTATTATTCTGACCTTGAAGCAAACAAAGTAGTTACATTGGGATATATATGTGTGCATATGTAAATTTTCATACTACTTGAACGCGTAGATTTTATTTTTATGCTTAAGCCGATGAGTTGCACCTCTACATATGAGCAATTATGTAGAGCAAACTAAGGTATTGATAAAATGATTACGAGATTTCAGCACTCATGAAGTAGTAAAGAAATAATGAAACTGCTAAATTTCAATAAAGTATTTATTGGAGAGGATCGTCATGTTTTAAATCCAGATCATCAAGATCCTTTCAGGAGAAGTAAAGCTACTGCTTTGACATTATTTTACTAGTGTAACCCCAAGGTGGTACAATCAAACAACCAGAAAAATGGACGTTTTGTATCACTCCTCGGTGTATTTTCGTCTGGCTAGGAAGAACCTTTCCAGGAGTATAAATCTGATATTAGGCTTTCAGGTTAGTATTCAAGTTTGATGAAGAAGGCAACCTGTTTGATCGTTCAGTTAGATCGTCATACAGGAAGAATATTAGTACAGTTAAGAAGAATGCTCTAAAAAGTAGGTCAAAGAAGCATATTTAAGCAACTTGGAACATATTCGGTAGATACACTGATTGATCTGTAGGGAGACTAACCAATCTCATTCTGTCTAGCCCCTAGTAGTGACGGAGTTCTATAGATCATTTTGCAGTGTGGCCAACAAGCTAAAAGGCTCATCATCGTGATGCAATTTGATGTATGTTGGTTGGCTGGAGGCAATCGGCAGGAAACCCTGGACCTAAATCTCATGCTTTTGGCTACTTTGAAAATGAGTAGCTTGGGTTCAAATCTCACAGAAGGCATCAGTTCCCTTGTTGTCCAGTGCCAACAAGCCCAAAACATAGGTTCAGGACTTCCTGCCGATTGCTTTCAACCAACTAGGATACTTGGTGAATACCTTATACTCGGTTCACAAAGTATCCTTTTAAAAGATAACCACCTGCTAAAAGGTTTCGTTTTTCACAAACGGAGTCACTATTGAGGCTTTGCAGATGTGTTTGTTCCTTTCTGCGATCAACAGAATCGATAGACTAGATATCATACAAATAAGACCTGTATTTAAAGCTGTGATATACAAGGAATAGGTCACGCATAGCCTGATTTCAGCACGTTAATTATATATCACTTTATCACACTACCCTACACGATTTATTTCTGACATATTCAGCTTTCCTGACTGGTGATGCAATCTAGCTCCTCCTTAATGACTATTCACTCCATTACATATTTCACAGGTGACTGAAATTTTTCATCATATATTACACTAACACTGCTTGCACAGCTTGAAATGACCTCTTTGACCCACTTGTTATAGCACTCAACTTAATTATATTGACCTTCGTTTTGTACGACAATTTAACTGCATTTTCAAACAAGTCACCTTCTGCATCAAACTTAAATATTAACGTGAGACCCTAATACTAAATTTATGTTCTTCCTAGCAAGATTGAAATAAGTATACAAAATCTCTATCTGTTTTGTTTGTTCTAGTGTATTAGGCTAGGATTACACTACTAAAATATGCTTTATGCGATGAACTAGATTAACTCGATACATAAGTAATTCCAAACCATCCGGTCTATCGTTGGTCTAGATGCGTTCAAATTTTATTGCTCTCACTGTTTATAATATCTCATTTTGACACGTGGAAGAATTCACTTCCGCCTACATGCTTCTAAATAACGTTTATCAAAAGCTAAAATAACCACTGAGTGTGAGAAAGTAGGATTTAATGAATTAATAAATTCCACTAGAACTGGTCGGCTGAATACTATACATATTTGAATGTAGATACCATCAGACAATGTAAAAAAAGGAATATTGAAACATAAAGTAATTCACTTTTAACCTACTGTATTTAGGCATGCAGTACTACCTTTTGAAATTACCGCCTAACTTGCACATATCTTTCACTTCTATGTTGTCTCCCTGCTGCCTGTCTGCCTATTTTCTTGTATTGACTGATGGTATGTACAATGAAGTATGTAGAATATCTAACTGACGAGTTCTACTAAAATTTGTGAATTCATTGAATCCAGCTTTTTTCATATTCATTATTTGTTATAAATCTGTACTGGGAAAAAGATTTTTCTAGTTTATTAAAATAAAGCAATATTTTATTGATTCTTGGTCGTCTCTGTGCTCATATGCGTGTTTGTTAACCCCATCAGCATCCAATTCCTACAGGCACTTTATACTGCCAAACCCCAAACCTATCAAAACTACCTTCAGTTCTCATGTTATACTAAATTGTGGTATGAACCAAACCTTCCCGTATTGTTTTATGCTACTAATTGTGAGAAATGAATGCTTGACATATAACACCGTAACCTCTGATTGGTCACTGGTGAGTAACCAACTTCATGTTGTCTAGTCCTATTTGCTGACGGAATTCAATCGATCATTTTGCTATGCAGCCACCACACCGATGGAATTAGGTCACCAAATAGACTAGACAACATAAAGTTGGTTACCCTCCAGTGACTAACCAATGTATCTAGTCCACTCCTACAGGAGGACAGTAAAAGCCCGAATAGCTCAGTGATAACGTCGCTGACACGGATTCGAACCTCATGTGGGACATCAGTTCCGTTATGGTTGCAAATACACCCTGCTGACAAGTGCCAACAATCACGAAACCTAGTTTCAGAGTTACCTGCTGATTGTATCCATCCAACTACTATTAACACAGCATATTACTTACTTTTGGTTGCTGATGAGATTAGCAGTTTCAGTTATCTTTAAACTGATTTTATTCATTCAAATTCATTTTAGGCCCTTTTGACTGACAAATATATAATTTATATTACTGCGATGGTTTACATTTTTTATAATGATTACTTTGTATTATTTTTCATTTTTAAAGTTCTAGATGTTGCCAGTTTTGAGCGGCTAATGGGTCCTTGTCTTAACGTTATGCAAAGAAATATTGAAACATATGAAAAACAGCTGAATGAACTACTTGGCACTAATCATCAACTGAAGTCAACTGACCTCAGATCAAAGTGATGCATGCATATATATTCCAACAGGCTTTTATTCACCGTGTCAATTTCTTCACTGTCTCCTCATATCTTAAAGTTCTTCATAATTGATAAAATAAGTAATGTGATAACAAAGATTACTACTGTTGCCATAATACTATTAAATATATGAAGTAAATCATCCGACTGTGCAACTATTCAACATTATATTTTTGACTTTATGAATTCTGTCATTTGACTGCATACCATGCATAAACACAACATCCCCAAAACTGACGACAGATCATTGTAAGAATATTGAATATACATAGCATTCATTCAAATCTCTTTGCACCAGGCTTTACATCAACCCCTGGAAAAGTGTCCAGTATCCATGTTAGCATTTATGCTTATGCTTAATTGGACAAAACAAAGATACTGGAAAAATATTTGCTTTACATATACTGAATCTTGGTCCTTCATGCTATTTAAGTATTTCTGTCTGTTTTGTTCCATTATTTTGGCGTTTATTTGTCTATGTTCGTATTCTATCATTTCTTGATACTGCCGCTCTAACATTAAACACCTTTTTATAAGTTTTGTCCAAAAAATAAACAGTTTACCTTATGCGAGCCACGTTCATACTGAAATTACTTTACATTTTGCCAGGATATTAAGTCAAGAAGGATTTATTATTATTATTATTTGTCCCTTGAGTTCCTAGTGGAATATAGGGCTTCAGTAGCACTTCGACATTGCAATCCGTTCTATACAATCTTCTCAACCTAGCTCCATGACTGCCCAGAGCTCTCATTTCTTCCTCACACGATCTCCTCTATATCACCCTCGGATGCCTAACTCGTCGTTTCCCACACCGGTTCCACTCTACGATCTAGCTTGGCCTGACAAGTGATAACCCAAAACGTCTTCTCAGTCTATGTCCAATCCAATCGATCTCCACTTTCTTCTTCTGCATATTTGTTGGGTGATAGACTCTTGGTTAGTTCATTGCCAGCCTGAGTGAGTTCCTTGTTGATTATTCTTTCTGGCTATCTGATCTGATCTTCTGTATCAAGAAACCGTAGAGAGCTGTTGATGAATGTCTGTAGTTTGTTAAAAACGATTTTTGTGCCCAGCTGACTTGACCGATATCCAGGTTGAAAACCCGGATTTTGTTTAAGCTTACTGCTGAGTGCAGCGGACCTCCACACTGGTTTCAGACTAATGAAGGCCTGTCCTGCTTTCCCGATTCCGGCTTTGGCATCCTCATCTGTGTCACCACCAGTAGTCGAAAGATGCTGCCTGCGTACGTTCACCTGAAGTCCCGTCTTCGCTGCCTCGCCTCTTCTGTCAACTTGTTAGTTTTCGCCTGTAGATCTTCCAGTTTGTGTGACATCGGACGTAAATCATCATCGGCGAAATCCAAATCTTCTAGGCTCCTTTCATCCATCCAGCCAGCCTATCCCTATCTTCTCATAGCTTCTCACAGTTTGCTGCATGAGCCAGTCGACCACAACCAGGAAGATCAAGGGTGACAATAAGCAGCCTTGTCTTACTCCTTCCTGTCTTAACTTCGAAGGCGTAACCGAGGTTTCCATCGTGGATCACTTGACATGTGGCGTCTTCATACAGCTGTTGAATGAGGTTGATAAAAGCTTGTAACACTCCGTAGTGTTGAAACAACTGCCAAAACACTTCTCGGTCGACGCTGTCGAAGGTCTTTTCAAAATCGATGAAGTTGGGGCAGAGTTGAGTTGACTGCCATTCTACACTCTATTCAATGATGATGTGAAGCGTTCTGATTTGATCCGCACATGATTCGTTCCTTCTGAATCCAACCAGCCTGCTTGTTCCAGTCGTAATCTTGAATCCGAAGCATACATTAGTCTCTCGAGTATGATGTGGCTCAATATTTTGCTTGGCGTGGATATGAGCATGATTCCGCGTCAGTTCTTGCAAACACTCAGGTCACTTAGGTTCTTTGGCAGTTTGACAAGGTAGCCCTTCTTCCAATCAATTGGTAGGTGTCTTGCCTTCCTTCCTTCCTTCCTCGCCGCAAACCTTCTGCAGTTGTGTTGTGAGCATATCCACTGTTGTTTCTCCATCTGTTTTCAGTGTTTCTGGAGGAATTCCATCTAGTCATGCTGCTTTCCCGGATTTCAGCAACTTTATTGCATTCACGACTTGTGCTTTTGTTGGAGGGCTTGGGTTCACTGATAGTTCTGCGGTTGCTGGTAGTATTTCTGGACGAGTTGCAGGTGGTAGTGGTGGTTGATTCAAGGGCTTCGTCAAGTGGTCAGCCCATCGTTTGCTTTATTTCTCCTCTTTAGTACCTAGCTCTCCTTCATCATCCTTCATTGGATTCGTCTGCGTTGATCTCCTCCCTCCCATAGAGTAACCTAGTTATTTGATATAATGTTGTCAAGTCTCTGTCTCTCCTACCTGCAGCTTGTTATGCTTCACTTGCCAGTGTGTCGTAGAAGTGTCTTCTGTGTTCGCGTGCACTCTTCTTCACTTCTTTGTCCAGTGTAGTGTTTTGTAACTTGTATTCAGCTTTTCTTTTCATTGGTCACCCCTGCACTACACCACACTGGTTCGTCTTCTGCTTCACCATCTTCCACTCACTCCTCTATCAGCCCCCACGTGTCCGTCAAGGTCCATTCCTTCCCTTGTTTTTCTTCTTTCTCACTTCCTAACACGGTTATGCAGAATTCCTTCCACATGGCTTTCAAAGAGTTCCACTGTTCTTCCACGCCCAATCCTCCAATGATGTTGTTCAATGTCTCCCATTTTGCCCTGATGGCTAAAGTGGAGACTCACTTTATAGTTTTGTGCTTCAGTTTCTGTTCTGAGTATTGAACTTGAACTGTGGTCCATCACCAACTTCTGTGAAGGTTTTCAACTTGATTTCGAAAGTTCCTTATTCTGCACTAGATTGTGGTCTGAACCTACACCTGCTTCTCTTCTTGATCTCCTATTTTGTCCACTAGGCTGCGTTTCAACTTTTTTCATATTGAGGTGAAGTCGATCTGATTTTTAATGTGTCCTGGTGTCTGGTGAAATCCATGTCTCTCACTTTGTGAATATCCTTGTGTCTGTACGCGCTGTTTCCAATCACCGACTCGTTGAATGTGCAGAGATTTGCAAACAGTTCTCCATTCTCATTCCTTTTCACCGAGCGCTTCTCGACCCATGGTTAGTTCTCTCCCTGTGTCGTCCACTCCCAGTTTGGCATTCATGTCGCCCATTATAATTTTGATGTCACCAACTGGAGTCTTGTCTAGTACTGATTGCAGTTGTCTGTAGAATTTTTCCTTCTTCCCTTCATCTGCATTATTTTTAGGTGCGTGGCGTAGCATTGAATGATTGTGATTCTTCTTCCTTTTGATTTGAGTCTGTCTGTCATGGTTCTGATCCTGGAGAAGTATATTGGTTCCCACTACATGAGAGTTTTTGATGCTATTAAAGACGTCATGATGGCCACTCGAATAGTCATTGTGCTCGTGGTTGTCATCTGGTGGACAATATCAGAGTAGATTATTATTTGTCCGGTGTGCAGTTTGGAGAGTCCACCTTCATTCCATCTGCTTCCGTAGATTCCTTAAAATTCTGTGCCACACCTTCTCAACTCTTTCGCAATCTGGGCAGCCTTGTCAGCCAGCTTTAAGTATTCTTCGGACATTTCATGTCCCCATGGCTTCATCGACAGAGAGAAGGCACATCGACCAATTGGCTTCTTGAAGGCTTTCACCAACTGGCGTCATTTCGTCTCTTCTATTCCAGCGGGGAAAAATTTGATTTTTTTTTCTATATTTTCCTTGCGTTTTGAAGTTTCTGTAGAGATTGGATTGGTTTTCCGGGTTAGGGTTGCTAGCCGATATGCCAAACGTTCCCTCTTTATCCGGGCTTAGGACCGTCTAGTAATTAGTGAACTAGTTACCTGAGTTTACTGATCGGAATCACAGAAGACACTGACTGGTGTAATCTGACTACCTAATTCACACAGACCAACTAGGAAGTTTACTTATCTGTGAGTTGTAACTTCACCTCGATAGCCAACTTATATCAGACTTCCTTTAAACGCATTTCTACAGGGAACTTAATGAGTAAAATTATGTTAACGTTTTAGGGTAACAAACTGGTAGCAACTATATCAGCATCAGTTAATTTGATTTTCAGTTGTATATATCAGTTATTACTGTTAAGATACCTAACACCTGGTATTTTATGCCACCGGTGTTGTAGTGAAGGTTGTAGAACCAGTTAATCTTACTCTACAGTTACGTCACCAACTCAAAGCAGTGAATCTGCAAATGGAAAGAATCAATTGATCAATAAATACAAGCATGAGTGTTGAAAATTATTCATGAAAATTAATTTACGTAATCTTCTCATGAATAATTTAGTGCACAGCTCCTGATTATTCTGTTTAGAAGCCTTATTCCACTGAGCTGAACATTTGAAATTAAAAACACCAACTTTTGTTGAACATATAAGATAATTGTCTCGATATTTTGTGCACGTAATGGATAAAATTACATCGATATTGTCTTCAGATACAATATAATCGTCTAGTTAACGGCCTATGTCGAAGAAAATGTCTGTGAGTTCGTTTTAGTAAATCAGACCATTAGATATTCAATATCCTTTGCACATAACTATTTTTGAAACGACAAACTACCAAATTTTCCTACACAAAATCTTGAAAGGTTAACGATAACTTTACTGAAATAAATGCCTCACAGTGTAATGAGTTGATACACTGATGTTTCAATAGCTGAATTTTTTCTACTGCCCCTGCGGTTAATCACACAAGCTGATTATTGGCATCAAATAAAGTTGCAGATTACATACTCCCCTATACAATCGAACAAGTAGATCAGTCCTAAGACATAAAAAATAATTTCAACAGTTAATTCTCAGCAGTCTTATGAATTCTTTCCTTTCGTCAGTAGTTAAAGGCAAGTCAGTTTTACAGCAAAGACCACCTACATACATTACTACATATAGTTCACTATTCTGAATGCAAAGAAATGCTTTTCTATCATCAAGACTAAGTAAGCTGATATGAACGATACTTTGTCTCCTTGATCAGTAGGCAGTTTGTACCAAAAGCACTGAGTTGAATAGTTCTAATCGTTATGAATTATCAGATAACCTACTCAAAAGATTTGCATTTCTTGTCAGAAAATGGATACTTTACACAAAAAATTGACATTAACATAGATCAGTTGGTCGGTAAATATCGTCACGTCAGTTAGTGAAAAATAAACTCACTCAAGCATTCAATTTAAGCATGTACGAGAAGAAACGAATGGAATAAAACCTCATTTGTAATAGATTACAATGATATTTTTGAATTGAAGTACAGGTACCATAGTACAATGTTCCGCTATCAGGTTTCATCCTGATGCGAATACCATTATTCTTCGGTTACTAATAATCTGATAGGCAGGAACCACAATATATGAGTATTACGAGGGTAGCGGGTCCTGATGGATGATTGATCATTTCCCGATTTTAAGTTGATTAGCCAAACCAACATATTCTATTACTATACTATTAACTTCAGTAGATGGGATAAATAGCTTAAAAGGTAGGTAATTTTTCTCTTTAAGCTTCAATAAAACATTATAGCTGGTACTATCATAAGATTCGATGACAAAACTTAATTAAATAAATACTAGAAGAGAGAACTTCAAAAAA